AATTTAACAAGGCCCTAAGCAACTTAGTGAGACTGTCTCAAAAAAAATAAAAGAATGCAGATGTGACTCAGTGGTTAAGCAACTCTGGGTTCAATCCTAGGTACCATAAAAGATAAAAGTAGCATTATCTCAGTCTATTTCTCCAGATGTTGAGGAGAATAATTGTAATAGTATTTCTTATTAATTGGAAGACCTTCTATAGTTATTATATTTCATATGTAAGATGAGTTTCTCTAATATGACACTAATTTGAAGGCACTTTCAAATTGGAAATCACAAAAGTTAATATGTTTTTTGGAGAAGTAACCACAGTAGAGTTTGACAAAGGAAATTCCATATAAGCAAAGTATTTACAATCTCCCATGAAAACATATGTGAATTTGTAATTTAAGCACTGAGAGAAATATTACAATGGTCCTTTACATGGGAACTTCATTATAGATCCTTTTTTTTTCTGAATTAGTATATTTAAGATAATACATGATTCAGACCCCTAATCTCTCTCTGGTGTCATTTTTTTTATCAACACATTTATAAACTTAAATACAAAAATCTTCCCTACCATTGAGGTGTTTTAATGTAACATGAACACTAATGAACTATAGTGACTTAGAGGTCACCAAGTGGTTGTGTAGGAAAGGCCAAAATTCATTACTATACATAGTCAATATTTTAATTGTAAATATTCTCTATTCTATGGATTTAGATTATTGTTATTTTCAAAATTTCTTCTGAAGTAATGACAGCAAATTCTGTATATGTCATAAATACATCATGGTAAAATCCTTTCTTGACAGTAGACTGAAGGCAATATTTTAGCTTATAAAGTATTATTTGTGTTTTATCATTAATAATTGAAAATTTTCCTGGTATTAAATGGCCTCTAGTAAGGCACTAATTTTTGATATTTTTCTACTTTTGTGTAAATTGTTAATTTAGTTTATGTTTAATAGTGTTCAAAGAAGTTAGAAACATTCTTGTTCATAACAACTCCAAAAAGTTTAGCAAAAAATTGATCCTACTTTAGAGTTTTAATGTCCATTTACAAAATATATTTCTTAATTATTTACAAAGTAAGAATCTTCAATAATATACATAATTGTTTAAAGAAAATAAATATGATAGGATGTGTGGGCTCTCTCTCCTCCAGTGAGGAGGCTCATGGGATAGGGTAGAGGAGAGTGTGGCTGTGGAGGTGCTAATCAAGACCTCCGGAGACCAAGCAGGAAGCAGGTCTGATTTTACTGTGCAGTTACCATGTATATATATACTCAGGTAGTAGCTAAGCAGATTCCAGTCAGCCACCAATGCAATTTCTGCTAACTTCCCTTGCAGTGACCAATCAAGGAGTGGACCTTGAAGCAAGCCCATGGCCTCACGCCCAGGGCTGTGTCTACAAGGTAAGCAACCTGCTGCTCACATGCCTAGCATGAGAGGAGGGGCCTGCCACTTAGACTCCCTTAACATACACCATGTATGCAGTACTCTGTACACTTGTCCCCACAATAGGATACCCTTAAGGGTTTGTAAATCTATTAAACAGAGAACTTACATTTAAAGAAAACTCAAATTTTGTAAGACTTATTTTGGAGGAGCATTTATATATAAGACAAATACAATACATATAATGAAAGTATCTGTTTTTTTTTTTTTTTTTCATGGAGCACTTTTCTAGAATTCTAAGTATTTTCCAGAAACAGATTTTTTTTTCTTTTGCTGGATTGAGCATATAAATKAAGATAAAAATGGCAATCTTTTGCTAAATCTAATTAATTGTCATCATTGCTACATTAACAAAAGACAGACAACCTCCAGATACCAGGCCAAAAAAAGGAAAATTTAATGGGTAGGCAATGAAATTTTCATTGTTTCTATGTTTCTAAGTGAACACTATTTTAATGTAACTTTCTTAATTATATGAAAACAATGTGAAAACACATTGCTTAAATTAAAAATACCCAAACAAGTATGTATTATACAGTTATCTTAGTCTGTTTCTGTTGCTATATTAAAATATTACAGATTGGGTAATTCAAGAATAATAGAGATTTCTCACAATTCTTAAGGTTGGGAAGTTCAAGATCAAAGCACCAGCAGATATGGTGTATGATGAGGGTTCCTCTCTTTGCTTACAAAATGGTACCATTTGTATATAATTTAGGGAGGAAATTGTTTCTTCCCATTATAGAAAGCACAAGAGCAAACAAAATAAAACAAAAAAACCTGAACTACTATAGACTAGTTTCCTCCAGCTTTATAATAAGTTTCAAATCCATAATCATGTTTTCACAAGACTAAAAGTCTTAATTTTGTTATATTGGAGATTAAGTTCCAACACATGATTCTGAGGGGACATTCAGACCATGCCACCCAGTTAAGAGAAAAAAAAAATCCCTTTTGGATTCAAAATCAAGAAAGCGGCTACAGGTCATCTATGTTAATGAGTTCTTATAGTGGTTGATCTCACTAATGTACAGAGAATACTTAACAACTTAATTATTTTTAGGATCTCTTTTAGAGTAAATAGAGGAAGCAAAACTTGATGTTATAGCCATTTGAGGATTGAAAAAATATCCAAAAAACTTATATCTTTTATTCTCAAGAAAAGCAATATCAAGAAAAACTATAAGAGAAAATCCATTCTAACATAAATATATGAACATAAAATACAAAGTTACCAAAAGTTGTCTAAAGATTATATGTATACCTTAAAGTAAAACAATTTAAACAAAATACAAAACCAGTTAAAAATACCCAAGTATTAATAGTTTATCATTGATTCTAGTTTCAAATTCAGCTCCTATATTACTGTATTATTGAATTTAAATGACTTGACTATTAGACAAATATGTATTTTTCTAGAAATGAAGAATATTTATAAAAATGTATTTAAGCATGATTGAAAGCACAAAAATACCTTCAAAGACCAAAATAAGCTTTATTGTTATATTCTAGTTAATAAATTTCCTGTTATTAATTTAATTCTTTTACATTAAAAACCAGWAAACCACATTTATGTTAGAGTATTTATAATATGGATAACAACTACTGATTACCTAGTTAACAGATTTGTACATTCATGGTGAAATATATTAACCTTATTAGTGTATTTTATAAGAAAATGTACTATTTGAATGTGCTACTCTAGAAAAATTCTTATATATTTAAATATTTTATACATGTCAGTTATTCAAAACTAAATAATTTGTTTAGAAATTGAGAAATTTTAAGTTTTTTATTCTATTGTATGGTTACCTGGCTTGAAGTTTTTCAATTCTGACTCTCTAACTCAGTATCCAGTAACCATTTATATATAGTCACATATCTGTGTGTGTGTGTGTATGTGTTTGTACATATATTTATCTATGATATGTAAATAGATGTGTTTTTCCTTTGAGTTCATTCTTCAGCAATTCCTTAAAAATTTCTTAAAGCATTACCATTCTTTAAAAAATGTTGTAAATACATACGTAATTTTATTAGGCTCTGTTTTCCATTTAGAATATTAATTATTTTAAATAAAAAATATTACCATCTGGAGATAGAGAAATTTGTACTTCCCATTTTGTTAAGTAAATTTTTCACACAATTTATAAAATTGTAAGATAAATAGGAAAATCTGTGATATCTTACAGGTGTTACATTACATGCTACTTTTTATAATACTCAACTAATCAGATTGCAATTGTAGTCAATGGTTGAAACATAGGCCTGGTAATATATTGCTGTCACACAATTTCCCCCACTTATTGACTATGTCTAGTGGATACATTTCTATGAGATTTCCTTTTCTTTTTTTTTTTAATTTTTTCCTGAAGAAGGAAGAAGAAAAAAAGAAAAAAAAACAGTATTTATTTACAATGATTCTTATATACTTGATTCTGAAATTTTGAGATTTCAAGAACCTCCAATCTACACTGAGTCAACAATTAGATATGATTTCACATACCCTAGGACTGCTTCAATCAAAAGGGAAGTAACAAGTATATTGGCAAAGATATGCAGAAACTGAAATCCTCATACACTACCATATGCAAGGTGTTACAGACATAAACATCCTGTGAAACCTGAAAGAACAACTTCCAAAGAGGACACGGGTAGCTTTAGGCATATGCATCTGTCTTGTGTTGCTAATATCACATAGCACAGACTAGAAATTAAAAAGAAAAGAGATATACTTTTGCTTACAGTTTTGAAGGTGTAAGATCCAGGGACTGGATCTGGTGATGGCCTCTTTTCTGTCAGAGTCCCAAGGTAATGTGGGGCATCACAAAGCAATAGAAAAAGAGCTTGTGTCTGTATGTATAACTGTCTCTTTCTCACCCTCTTCTTATAAAGCTACCAGGATTCAATCATGAGAGCTGCAACCTAATGACCTGATTAAATCCTAACCACTTCCCAAAGGCCCAGTTCTAATCACCATTGTATTAAATTTTTGCCCTTTTAACACCTCACAATGGGAGTTCAATTTCAGCATATAAAGTCTTGGTAGACCCTCAGATCATAGGCAATCCATAGATTCAGGTAAGATTGCACTTAAGATTTACTTAGATGTGCATGATATTAATCACCTGTGATTTTCACCTAACAGAAGAAAAAACTAGATTGTTTGTATAAGAAAACAAATGTGGAAACACCGATTAAATTAAATGTATGATTAAAATTTGTAATTGTCAAAGATATTGAAATAAATTCCACAAACTTTTTACAGCTGGTAATATTTGAGTAGGAATTAGACTCCAGAAATTTTGCTTTCTAAAGCATTATTAATCTTTACTAAATTATATTTTTTAATCTTTAATTTTATATTATCAATTATCTCCTCTTCAAATCTGTCACCTTCTTTTATTTATCTAGATGAACCATATTAACAATAATAGTAATAAATTACATATTAATGTTAAGGAAATAAATATTAATATTAATGATATACACTAGCATATTAAATATCCAACTCATTGTTAGACTACACATTATGAATGTCACAAATCTTCCTTAGTGTGCTCACTTTGGCACCACATATACTAAAATGGGAAAAATGCAGAAAATATCAGTATGGCTCCTGTGCAAGTATGACATGCACATTTGTGAAGTGTTATATATGTAACAGGTAACATTTAAGGACTGCTAACTTTTYTTACAAAATTGATAATGAAAGCTAGGGTCTGATTTCACCTAACACTTCTGAATGCATAAAGTCATCATATTGTTATTTGTCTATTAAAAGATACAAGGAGATAGTATGAATATTTTATGAAGGTTGGAGTCCCTGTTGTACAGTTAGATTTGCACAAACACCACCAACATCATTTYTAATATTCCAGTGTTACTCACCATTATTTTCTTTTTACAATGTATAAGCTAACCACTTAGTTTTTGTGACTTTATGTAAAGTTACTTCTAGTTGAGCTAAGGCTTTCTTTGAAACATCAGTTCAATAATCATTTTGAACTACCACATACTGAGTTTATGTTGAATATACAAAGTTTCTACACACAAACATATGCTTGAGTGGCTCGTGATTTGTGCCCASCCAGACTGTGGCAAATGAGTTTAGAAATTGTATTAGTAAGACTTCTGTCACTATAATGAATTACCTTAGTTAATAAACTTATAAAGAGAAAGATCTATTTGTGCTCATAATTCTAGAGGTTACAGTCCAAGATCAAATAGTCTMATTTCTTTCTGCCTCTGATGAGGGCAGTACATCATGGAGATATATGGCAAACCACTCACCATTTGAGCCAGGAAGCAATAGTGGATAAGGTAAAGATAAGAGCTCCACAAACCCCCTCATGGCCACTTCCCCAACTACCTGAAGAAATCCCAGTAAGCTCCAACCCCTTATGCTTCTACTGCCTCTCAATAATACAGTCCTGGATACAAGCCTGTATCATGTAGAACTATGAAATCTTACCCAATCTACAGCAGGAGTGAAGAATGCTTAGCTTAATTTAAGAAGCATAAGTAAGTATACAGTTATGATTCACACTAGGATAAAGTGGTTTTGTAGGACTTTTTTTTTTTTTTTTTAGAAATGTGTATCTCTTAAGGTTAGAATATCCCCTCTGAAAATTCATTTGAAATTTAATTGCCATTTTAATAATATGAAGGTATGAGACCTTTACAAGTTGAAATAGATCATGGGATCACTGATCTCATGAGTGTATTAAGACCTCATCACTGGAGTGGAATAGTTAAATTGAGAGCAGGTTTTTATTAAGTGAGTACAGTCATTGATTTCATGCTTTCACACACAATTGTTCTTCCAACTGAAGGAGATGCAGCACAAACACTCCCACTGAGTTCTGCACCATGTTCTTAGACATTCTGGTATCTATAGTGTAAGAAATAAATTCATTTTCTTTGAAAATTATCCAGGGTCGTGTGCCACAACAGCAGAAAGCAAATGAAAACTCTGATATTTTAATATAATATTATTTTCATTATTTTTATAGAATATATGATTGCATGTTACTACTCACTTGTTTAAATTCTGTCTTATTCTACATACCTAAGAGTCATTTTATACACCAACTTTATTGTCATTTCTTTGCTGTAAAGTTTATAATTATTTGTAAAATATATGCCAAGTAAATCACTAAGAAAACTCATACAACATAAAATACTTGATATTTTAAATAATTTTCCAAGCCAATCACTTCATATTTTCCAAATCAGTGATTACATCAGGATTAGAAATCATTATTCTTTCTTGAACAAGGAAGCATATAATAAAATAAATTAATAAATGAAAGCACAAATTCATGAGTATAGAACTGAACACTTATTTTTTAAAATATTTTCAGTTATTATTTATTTTCATGCATTGGGTATTTCAAAAGTAAAGTGAATCTTTCAGGACCAAAGTTTTAACTGAATAAAAAAAATGATTCTTCCTAAGTTACAAATATTTTCCATATCAACTTTTCCTAAACTTGGATTTAGTTCTATTTTAGGAAGCATCTCAAAAGTAGTTAATTGTAACCCATCAATAACTAATAATGTCGGCTAATAATGTCAGTGTCCACAGCATGAACTCTGGAGTCAGACCAATGGGATAACATTACTCTTCTACATTTTAGGACACAAAATTCAGAAATTTATATAGTATTGCTGTGTCATGGTGTTACATGTGGAAAAAGGAGGTTAAATAACATTAACTCATTTATTCTTAWGAGGATTACATGAGTTTTTATGTGAAAATTATTTGACAAAGGATTTAGTAGTTGCTACAATTTTTTATGATGAATATTTAAAATGATTAATTATAAGGCAGAAACATGTAAATGGAATTAAAATCCTYAAGTTGTAAAACCACTAAAATTCTACATTTAATAAAAATTGTACATTTCCATTAAATATTCTAAAATATCTTAGTTTCTTATCTTTTCTTTAGTATTAAGTAAGGTTAACATAAACATCCATGAAATCTTGTATATTTTTCATGAAGTAACATACATTTCACAACGTATGTTGATAGATTTAACAATGTAGCAATAATCAATGCAGATGCTACTGGAAGACATTACAAAACTATAATCATCTTGAATTTGACTTYTCAAATTCAAGATTTTTTTTATTAAGGTTTAACTAACATATACAAATATTATATATTTATGGTATACAACATGATTTTTTGATATATATGTACATATGGTAAAATGCCTACCATACTCAAGTTATATCTTATTATTTATGTGTGTAGTACATTTAAGGAAAAATGATTAAATTGAACAATATGTGATTACATTGTTTAGAAGTCAAGCAATGCTCATGTTATGCCAAGTAAGAATAGCATATTTTTTTTTTTACTTTTGCWATTACAAAGATTTCTGAGTCAATTTAATCCTTGGTATTTTTCATGCTATACCAAAAATAAATTAAAAGATACATGAGTTGTCCTTATTTTTTATAAAAGGCAGTCATACAATTAATGATTTTTGAAAGCATATATTGATTTATATGGTTATTATTTTCTAAACTGTTATTTAGTTTAGGTTTTTTCCCCTTAAGCAAATACCAAATACTGAAGTGATATTAGATAGACTTATATATTCTCTGATTTCTTTCTCAGGAGATTCATTGTTGGTGTATAGGAAAATTATTGATTGATATGTGCTGATCTTATAACCTGCCACCTTTCACATTCACATATCAGCTCTAGAAGGTATTTTGTTGATGTTATTGTTGTTATAAGTATAGGATCATATCATCATCAAATAAAGATAATTTGACTCTTATTTTCCTATTCGTATCTCTTTCATGTTCTTCTATTACCTGATTGCTCTAGATAGAGTTACAGGACTTGGAATGGCATAATTAGTATTGTTGAATAAGAACTGTAAGCATGTACATCCTTGTTTAGTTCGGATTCTAGAGAAAATGCTTTCAATTTTTCTCCATTCAGTATGAAGATGACTTTGAGTTTATTGTATATTGTCTTTACAATGTTGAGATAAGTTTCTTCTATACATAATTTCTCAGTGTTTTAGCATGAATGTATACTAGACATTTTGAATATTTTTTCTGCCTCCATTGGGATAATCATATGACTCTTGTCCTTAACTCTACTTAAGTGGTGTATTGCCTCTATTGATTACTATATGTTAAACCAATATTTCATTCCAGGGATGAAACCTATTTGATCATGGTTTGTTATATTCTTAATGAGTTTTTCAATGTTTTGTCATTGTTTTATTAAGAATCTTTTCATCTATGTTCATCAGAGATATTGGTCTGAATATTTTCTCCTTGATGTATCTTTGTCTGGTTTTGATATCAGGCCAGGGCTTGGCATATGCTGGACTAGAACATTGAACATAAATTTTGAATGGTACTAAAGATAACATATAASAATTTTGTTAGAAATGTTAGGTGATTTTATAAGAAATATCTGTGTGTGAACCCTCTGATACCCTCCATGAATTACTATTAGTATATTTACTTTCTAAATGAGAATAATTTAGCCCAGAATATTTAAAAATCTTAACTGAACTCGCACTCTTGTTAATAATATGACTTTGGACCTAGAATATTTGCCTTCTACTTCCTATTAGACATATTGCCTTTAAGAAGTCAAAGCAATAACTATACACTTTTGTGATCAGAAAAAGCAAGAATCAGCTGATGATAGGGTAACTTGTGGACATCAAAATTTTCCCGCAGGGATATTTGATATAAAATTATAAACTTTCCAAGATCTCCACAGCAGGCAAGTCTCTGGTTTCTGATCTTCTCTGTTTTGAGCTTGAATTTCTGTCATCAATTTATCTTTGCATGAAGAACTATTGCCTTCTCCCTTGGTGTTACTGTGTGTGTGTATATATGTTTGTGTGCATGCATGGAGGTGTATGTGTTTTCCAAGACATGAGCTTTTAATAAGAACAGATTTTTCATAACTAATTATTTTTAAATTGTATTTGCAACTATCTACAATGTTTTACCAACCATTTTTTCCCTCCTGAAGACCCCTGGACTTATTATTCAGATTCTTTAACATAGTTTCTCCTCACTAAAAGTTTTCTGAATTTACTGAGAAAAATTAGAATGATTATCTCTAATCCCATAATGATCAAACCATATCTTTTCATTACTGCTTTGATTTAAATTCTTTTTGAAGCTCTCCTGTCCAATGATTCCTTCCTTTCCCAAGCCCCASATCAGTGTTGTGAAGTACAAATTCCTTTACATATCTTATATCCTAGGAATTATGATAGTTTCTGATAAATACAAGACAATAAAATATGCAGGGTAAATAAGTTTTTCAGGGAAACCAAAGATATTACTCCTATAGAAAAAAMCCTCAACAATTACACATCAGATGTAAAATTAAATAAACTGTCACTATAAGATATTTCTGAAACTATGCTTACATAATTATTAATATTATTATTTATAATATTTTATTACARTATTTTAATATATCCTTATTACTGCTTGGGTGATTATGATTTAAGTACTCTGAAGAACCATATTCATGTATGCTCTTTTTACTTAAATACAGAAATATGCTCAACTATTACTATTACCTCACATCACAGAAATTATTTTCTGATGGCTCCTTTAATCACTTTACTGAAGAAAATATCAAATTTTGAACAACTC